TAATGAGGTGACATTATACAGTGGCGGATTCAAGGTGGGGGAACGGCGTCCACTACCCCGTTAAATTTCTATAGTATTCCATAGAATTTTGATATAATTCCAAATGTGTCTCCGGAGTTTTCTTATGAAGAAAGTGAAAGAATTACGTGGTCCTCTAAATTAGTTCACAAACTAATATTATAAAAGGATATGTGAGTCATAAAATTTTATTTGAAATAAGTTAAATAAAAGCTTTTCATTTTAACTGGTTGGTGAATATTTTTTTGCTTAAAAAACTAGAAAAAAAATAGGTAAAAAATTTTAGTGTTACTTTTGCTCTCACCGAAAATTTTTTTGCCTCCTCCACTATATTAATAACGAATGAGTGTAAGTAGAGGTATGTTTTTGGAAGGCTTCAAGACTTAGAGGTTGTGAATTTTAATTTCCTTTTTAATTCCACCCTTCACTTGCTAACAAAAATCTTTAAAAAAAAAAAGGAAGTATGTTTTCGGAAAGGTCCGGAGAGTTTTGAGAGTTTACGGCTACTCTTCTTTGCCTTTGTCATGGTGAGAATTTCTTCAATGCTTGGGATATTAATGTCTTGATTTTGTTACCCTTTCTCCCACATAAATTTCGTTGACTGATTAGTTTACCCTTCAATCCTATAATCTTGCAACTTTATGCTAGAGAACTCTGCAAAGTAGTGTTTTATTAATAATAATAGTTTGAAAATCTTTCGTACTAGTTTTTAGAATATTTTTGGTACTTATTTATTTAGTGGTTTGGTTTCAAATTCCCATTCCTTCTTCTAGTTTCTCAAATCCCACCCATCTCTTGCTTTTATTTTTTACTAGTGGTTTGGATACTTTAGTGAGTAATTTGTTATGTTACATGTTTCATATTCGGTCTGAGGAGTGTGATTGGGTGGTAAGATGGGAAAAATTGTAACTTAAAAAAAAAGAAGTCTCATATTCACCAGCTTTTGTATATTTTAAAGAATTAATCTTATATACACTGATAGCGTATACACTTTCACCATTGGATGCACGACACATAATCCAAATTTGAATTTGAAACCTAAATTTTACATATGTGTTGTCGTATATCCAACTATGATAGTATATATACTATCAATGTTTTACTCTATTATAAATAAGGAAATTGTTGGATTTTTTTGAAGATAATCTGGAGAATTTACTGAAAGGGTGCAAGACTAATCTTGGATTTTAATTCTTGGGTGATTCTTCACTGTTTCACTGTTTGAGATGATACATGTTGTGAGTTTTTTGAAGTCTTCTCCAGATACCTCGGTATGTGAGTATTTGTTTTCTTTCAAATTTATAATACGAGTACTCCTAAAATTAGGATTCTTCACGTACTAGCTTTAAAACTTAGTCACATTAGTTTAAATGATTTATTTGTTGCTGGATTTTAGTCCGTGACCTAAAATGCTGCGTTTGGTAGTGAGATTGTACTTTTTTGCACACAGAAACTCAAGATTAATAAACTAAATTCATCACGTTCTGTAATTACTAGTAGAATATTGAAGAAAGCAGTGTAACGTTGGCGATAGAACGAAAGAACTAAAAATTGCTAGAATTAATCCATTGATAGACCAATTATTGGGCACATTTTGCACTGTTATTTTGTCATAATTTTGGCTATTTACGGTGCTAAAAATTGAAATTTTGCTCATACTTGATATTTGTGCGAATTATAAGTGGTTGGTATTAAAAGTAATCTCCAGAGGGCAAATTCCAGAAGACTAGGTATTATCTGGCGTGCCCACGCCAGACAACATGGAGTTGCGTGAAAAAGCCGGACACGAGGGATTGGTAGCAGCAAAAATGTGGGCAATTAAGAAGTTAGGCCTGCGTGGACCAGAGGCATGGGATTAAAATCCCAAAAAGAAAAGGTTTGCTGAGGACCCTTTGAGTGGAATTCTCCTGGCGGCGCTACGAGGAGAATAAGAAGCCAGATTCACGTGAAAATATGGGATTAGCTTTAGTTTTCTTTTTCCCTAGCCGTCAGACGTTGTATACTCTTCTCTTGCATTTTGGCTTTCACGTTTTTTACTCTTTTGCTTTGGCTTTAGCTCTGTACAATTTTCGTTGGCTTTTGCGTTGTACTTCGGCTTCAGTACGAACATTAACGCAGAGACAAGGAAGACATTTTCTTTTCTTTCTTTCGTCATTACTCCATCGTTCCAATTTCGTTGATGACTGTACGGATGAAATCAACCAACCCACGCAAAATTGATACGATGAGGAGCGGCTAGGTTTCTCCTCTACCTAAAGGTTAACGCGAAGGCGCGGTCCATAACATCTGTGAGATCTAATCGAATCTTCATTATTTCTTCCAATTTGTTGCTATTCGTGCGTTTCCTGAATTAATTGTTCATGGGTATTTTATTAATTGAATATCAACGGCCGGGTATTTAATTTAATTGAATAGCCTACTGTCTCATTAACTAAATTGAATCCGTAATTGTTCGTTTAGTTGATAATTAGTAAAAACCACCATAATTGGCTTTATGTTGGGGAAGCGCAGGATCTAATTTAAATAAACCCTCTTAGCGTGTTTATTGATTAGGGTTGGATTTTTCTAGCTTTAATGCAACTGGATAATTAAATTCCTATGGTCGTACCTAGGGTTGTTTTCTGGTTAGAGAAGCAGTCAACGGTCGTACCTTGACTGTCGAAAAGGTAAGGAAAAATTGGCTGTCAGAGTTTGTTGATAGTTATAACCAACCTAGTGATAAATGGATGAAATATCTTTGCATCGATGAGCATTTAATTGAACCGTGCCTGAGCAGTTGATCTTTTGGGTAGAACTTTTATTAATTGCTATTTTTAGTAAATTGTGCTTTGTGAGTTAGTTTTGCATTTTGTTTGTTTTATTTTTATTTTTATTTTCCTCCCATAAAAAACCCCCCATACTCTGACCTCTAAAAGAAACGAATTATTTCCAATCCCTGTGGATTCGACCCTACTCACCGCTATATACAAAATTGTAATTTTCTTGAATACGTAATTATTATTGCACAGGCTCGACACCTGTCAATTTTTGGCGCCGTTGCCGGGGAGCTGGCGTTTGGATTATTTGTTTCTTTTCAAATTCAGTTTTTATTTTATTTTATTCTATTCTTCTTGGTATTTTTGCTAGTTTATGCCCCGTTCTCTTTGCACAGGTGAATTGATATGCGACCCCGAGGTTGAGAAGGCAGCGCGTAGGTGATAGGGTATATTTTGTTAGTAATTTTATTATTAATTTCCCCTTTTATCCATGACAAATATTGTGTTAATTGTTGATATTTACTTATATTTGGTATTTGGAATCAATTTTAGGAGTGAAGCCGAAAATTACCAAATGGTCCTACTAGCAATAGGAGACAAGAGTCAATTCGGCAGGGCCTATCCTTGGTAATTCATCTTCTCAATTCGGTGGAGGCCCACGGAATAGAATTAGTCATTTGGCTCTTAAGGAGAAAGTAACGTACAGAGATGAAGAGGGAAGAAGTAAAATCAGCAGGCCTTCTTTTCGGGTAGCTTTGACTACCAATTGGGTGGGGACCACTGGAGAGAAGATTATGTTCTTTCTTTTAGCTTTTAAGTAGACAAGAAAAAACCGTACAGACGGCGAGAGTTTCAGCTTTTAGTTTTAGTTCTAGTTTTCTTTCTTTCGACTGGCCTCTGACACACGCCAGGTGTTCGACAATATTCTCCAACGGGAAAAACACCTTTTATCCTTTGCTTTCTAGTAGAAAACGCAATGCCTTTGCAATCTATTAATTCGTGTGGTGATTTAATTATGCGGCGTGGCTAAGCCTTCCATCTAGTCAAGGGTCAACTCGACGGCGCAGTCCCGAAAATCTGTGAGATCTAATTAGTTTTCACGCGTTCCTCAATTTATTAATATTTGCACGTTATCTGCTTGAATTTTCATGAGATTATTTTATTATTTGAATGTCAAGGGCCCGGTGTTCAATGTGATTTATTAATCTCGTGCCAATTTAGTCAATTAAATCCGTAATTGTTTGATTGATTAATATTAGTGGCAACTGGTGTGTTTACACATTAGGGAAACGTGCAATCTAATTTAAATAACCCTCGTAGCGTGTTATTGATTAGGGCTAAGTTTTTCTAGTGATTAATGCAATTGAAAAATTAATTCCTACGGTCGTACCTAAGAGTATTTTCTGGTTAGAAGTAATCAATGGTCGTACCTTGGTTATCAATAAATTAAGGAAAAATTGGTCGTTAGAATTCGTCGGCGACTATAACTAGTCTATTAATAAATTAAGTGAACCTTTCTTGCATCAATGATCGGGTAAATGGATTGTGTTTGAGTAGTTGTATCCTTGGCTAGAATTTATTTATTCCTGATTTACTTCCTGCTATATTTGTGCTAGTTAATTATTTATTTTTAGTTGGATTGTTTAATTATTTTTAGTTGCCTATCCGTGAAATCCCCCTCTTACCAATTGGACTTTAAAAGAGACAAATATCTCCAGTCCCTGAGGAGACGACCCTATTTGTCACTGTCTACTATTTAGTAAATTTCGTCAATTAATTAATTTTGGTATATCGGATTCAGCAAACTCTTCGAGAACAGGGTGAATCAAGTAACCCATTGCACACCTAGAGTCCCTGCTCCAGTACCTAAGATTAATTTTTGACTGCTTTTAGTGGTATTTAGGTTTTTACTATTATTATTGCACAGGTTCGGCACCTGTCAATTTTTGGCGCCGTTGCCGGGGATTGGCGTTATTATTTGTTTCTTTTTAAATTCATTTTTGTTCTAATTTTCTGGTATTTTTCTAGTGTATGCCTCGATCTTCTCGTACAGGTGATTTGATTTTTGACCCTGAAGTAGAGAAGACCGCGCGTAGAACGAGAAAGGAAACCAGACAACTCAGAAAGGAGCACTCCAGTGCTACGTCTCAGAGACCTGAGTCAGAAGTTGAACCAACAGATTCATTTGGTAACACTTCAAGTGAATCGGAGCAGGAAGAAATCCCCATGGCTAATGCACGAACATTAAGGGAGTTGGCTGCTCCTGATTTAAATCAGCAGCCTTTATGCATTACTTTCCCGAGTTTGAGTGAAAACACTTCATTTGAATTGAAATCGGGTCTAATTCACCTTTTACCCTCTTTTCATGGTTTACCAGGTGAAGAGCCGTATAAGCATCTGCAGGAGTTTGATGTCGTGTGCAATAGTATGAAGCCCCCGGGAATTACAGAAGAGCAGATAAAAATGAGGGCATTCCCCTTTTCCTTGAAGGATTCTGCAAAGGACTGGCTGTACTACCTGCCACCAGATAGCACCACCACGTGAGACCAATTGAAGAAAAAATTTTTAGACAAATATTTTCCGGCGTCCAGGGCTGCAAGCCTAAGGAAAGAAATTTGCGGGATCAAGCAGCATCCAGTGGAGTCACTCTATGAGTATTGGGAACGGTTCAAGAACTTGTTGCACAAGTGTCCCCAGCACCAGATAAGTGAGCAGTTGCTCATTCAGTATTTTTATGAGAGGCTCCTTTTCAGAGATAGGAGCATAATTGATGCTGCAAGTGGAGGGGCACTAGTGAACAAAATCCCTCGGGAAGTAAGGGAGCTAATAGAAGGGATGACAGAGAATTCACAACAGTTCGGTACGAGGGAGGATGTCCCAGTACGCAAGGTGAATGAGGTTCAGACATCCTCTATCCAGCAGCAGCTAACTGAGTTGACCTCGTTCGTTAGGCAACTGGCTGTGAAAAATGCATCACAAGCCAGGGTATGTGGGGTTTGCACTGGTATGGGACATTCTGCAGACATGTGCCCAACGATTCAGGAAGAAACTGCAGAACAGGTGAACATGACTGACCACGCGTCCGTGCCAAGAAAGCAGTACGACCCTTACTTAAGCACCTACAATCCCGGGTGGAGAGATCATCCCAACCTCAGTTATGGAAGAAATAGGCAGCCCAACTTTGCTCCGAACAGGCAGTCTAATTTTGTGCCAAATAAGCGACCAGGGTACCAGCAGCAATACCAACCCCGACCACTTCCGCCCCCAAACTCTGGTCCATCTTTGGAGGAGATGATGAAACAAATGATGACAACCATTACGTAAAATCAGCAAAGGACGGACTCCGAAATGCAGGACACAAGAAATCAGATAAGTCAAATGGCCACAACAATCAACCGGTTGGATTCCCAGAACCAAGGTAAATTACCGTCTCAGCCTGAATTAAATCCGAAGAACGTGAGCGCAATGACCCTAAGGAGCGGGAAGGAAATTCAGGGGCCCGAACCTGTGACTCCTAAGGACAAGGACGAGGAACGAATCGAGAAAGAGTTGGAAGAGGTGGGCGGAGACACCAAAAATCCAAAGGTAACCTCGGATCCAATCATTGCAGTTAGGAGTAATCCACCTCCTCCCTTTCCTAGCAAGTTAGAAAAATCAAAGAAGCAGGACAAGGAGAAAGAAGTCCTGGAGATCTTTCGCAAGGTGGAGATCAACATTCCCCTACTGGATGCGATCAAACAAGTACCTCGATATGCAAAGTTTATGAGAGACTTGTGTGTCAACCGAAGGTGGTTGAAGGGAGATGAGAGAGTGGTAGTGGGGGAAAATGTGTCAACAATCCTGCAACGAAAGCTTCCACCGAAATACGGAGACCCATGTATGTTCACTATTCCTTGTAGAAAAGGCAATACCTTGATTGGAAAGGCTATGTTAGATTTAGGAGCCTCAATTAATGTCATGCCGAAATCTATATATGCTTCTCTGAAATTAGGATCTCTGAAAGACACTGAAATAATAATCCAACTGGCTGACCGAACCAATGCATACCCTGACGGATTGATTGAAGATGTTTTAGTGAAAATTAATGAATTGGTTTTTCCTGCTGATTTTTACGTGCTTGATATGGATGATGAACACTCTCACGACCCATCACCTTTACTGTTAGGAAGACCCTTCTTGAGCACAGCTCGAACTAAAATTGATGTAAATAAGGGCACCCTATCTATGGAATTTGATGGTGAGATTGTTCATTTTAATATTTTCGAGTCCATGAAATATCCTTCAAAATCACATGCTGGCTCTGTTTTCTCTATAAATGTTATTGACCCTGCTGTACGAGAAGTTTTTGAAATTGAAGGCAGGGATGAGTTGGAAGTCGCCTTGACCAGACACTTCGAATCAGAGATGGCGTCTGGAGTAGAGTTGAGTGAAGAGCTCAAATGTGTGATTGGAGCGTTGCAAACGTTGCCAACCACAAAAATAAGATATGGTCTCGCACCCGTTTTTACACCTGAATCTCACCAAAGGTTACTTCCATCTGTGGTGCAGGCACCTATTCTAGAGTTGAAACCCCTACCGACACACCTCAAGTATGCATACTTGGGTGAGGGGGAGACACTCCCGGTAATCATCTTTGCGAGTTTATCAAAAGTCCAAGAAGACAAATTGATTCGAGTTTTGAGGGACCATAAGCAGGCGATAGGGTGGACCATCGCCGATATCAAAGGAATTAGCCCCGCGGTATGTATGCATCGAATTCGACTCGAGGAAGATGCTAAACCTATCCGGCAAGCTCAAAGGAGATTGAATCCCCTTATGATGGAGGTAGTGAAGAAAGAGATCCTGAAACTGCTGGATGTGGGGATAATCTTTGCTATATCAGATAGCCCCTGGGTGAGTCCAGTACAGGTGGTCCCGAAGAAGGCAGGGGTGACGGAAGAGTCAAATCAAAAGGGCGAACTCGTACCGGTTCGAAAGCCCACCGGGTGGCAGCAGTGCATAGATTATAGGAAGATGAATGCCGTCATGAAAAAAGATCACTTTTCCCTTCCTTTCATTGATCAAATGGTAGAGCGATTAGCGGGTCGAGCTTACTATTGTTTTTTGGATGGTTTTTCAGGTTATTTCCAGATTGCTATCGCACCCGAGGACCAGGAGAAAACAACCTTCACGTGCCCGTTTGGAACATTTGCATACCGGAGGATGCCATTTGGGTTATGCAATGTACCTGCTACCTTCCAACGATGCATGGTAAGTATCTTTTCAGAGTATGTTGATAAGATTATTGAGGTTTTTATGAATGATTTCAGTGTATATGGGGAAAGTTTCGATAATTGTCTAGATAACCTGAAATTAATATTGGTTAAGTGTATAGAAACTAATCTTGTGCTCAATTGGGAAATATGCCATTTTATAGTCGAGCACGGGATAGTTTTGGGTCATATAGTGTCATCTAAGGGTATTGAGGTTGATAAAGCGAAAATAGATGTTATATCTACTTTACCTTACCCTGCGAGTGTGCGGGAAGTGCGTTCTTTCTTGGAACATGCAGGTTTTTACAGGAGGTTCATAAAGGATTTCTCCAAAATTGGAGCGCCCCTGTTCCAATTTTTGCAAAATGAGGTGCCCTTTGAATTCAATGAAGCATGTAAGAAGGCGTTTGATAGGTTGAAGGAGTTATTAATCTCCTCACCTATTATCCAACCGCTCGACTGAAACCTGCAATTCGAAATCATGTGTGACGCCAGCGATTATGCAGTGGGCGCGGTGCTGGGTCAAAGAGTGGGAAAGGCAGCCCATGCTATCTACTACGCATCTCGAGCCTTGAACGGAGCTCAATTGAACTATTCGACCACCGAAAAGGAGCTTTTAGCTGTGATTTTTGCTTTAGAGAAATTTCGATCCTATTTACTTGGTGCTAAAGTTATTATCTTCTCTGATCATGCAGCTTTGCGGTATTTGTTGACCAAAAAAGAGGTAAAATCACGACTTATAAGGTGGATACTATTGCTACAAGAGTTTGACCTGGAGATCAGAGACAAAAAAGGAGCCGAAAATTTGGTAGCAGATCACTTGAGTCGAGTACAAGTCACCGAGGATGACCTCCCACTGAGAGAAACATTCCCCGATGAGCATTTATTTTCTGCTAATTTATCTTTGCCTTGGTATGCAGATATTGTTAATTTCCTAGTTACTGACAAGTTTCCTGCAGGATGGCTTAAGGCAAAACGGGACAAGTTAAGGAGTGACGCAAAGTCTTACATCTGGGATGACCCTTACCTCTGGAAGCGTGGTGCCGATCAAATCATTAGTAGATGTGTAAGTGAAAATGAATTCCAATCTATTTTAGCTTATTGTCACTCTTTTGCATGTGGAGGTCACTTTGGACCAAAAAGGACGGCTCGTAAGGTTCTAGAGAGTGAATTTTATTGGCCGACCCTCTTTAAGGATGCCTACTTATTTTGTAAGTCATATGATAGGTGCCAACGAGTAGGTAATATTTCTCGTAGGGATCAAATGACCCAAACCCCAATAATTTTTGTGGAGATTTTTGACGTTTGGGGTATTGATTTTATGGGCCCTTTTCCTTCGTCTTATGGTTTTCTATATATATTGCTGGCCGTAGACTATGTTTCGAAATGGGTGGAAGCAAAGTCCACCATACTAATAACTCCAAAGTGGTTGTAGAATTTGTCAAATCTATTATTGTTGTCCGCTTTGGGATGCCGCGAGCAATTGTAAGTGATAGGGGTACCCATTTCTGCAACAAGACGATTGCTGCACTTTTCAGGAGGTACGGTGTCTTGCACAAAGTCTCCACTTCTTACCATCCTCAGACAAACGGTCAGGCGAAAACATCAAATCGGGAGATCAAGTCAATTTTGGAGAAAATGGTTCGCCCCGATAGGAAGGATTGGAGCATGCGACTTGAAGATGCCTTATGGGCGTATAGAACGGCGTACAAGACGCCAATCGGCATGTCCCCTTATCGTTTGGTATTTGGGAAGCCATGTCACCTCCCTGTCGAGTTCGAGCATAGAGTATTTTGGGCGGTTAAACAATGCAATATGGACATCGAAGATGGCGGAATTCAAAGAAAGTTGCAATTACAAGAATTGGAGGAAATTCGCAATGAGGCCTATGAGAATGCTGTGATTTATAAGGAGAAAAATAAGATATTTCATGACCAGCAGGTGTCTAGGAAAATGTTTGAATGTGGGCAAAAAGTTCTACTGTACTACTCGAAGTTGAAGTTATTTCCAGGTAAGTTACGTTCTCGTTGGATAAGTCCCTTTGTTGTAACTAATGTCTTTGATTATGGTGCAGTGGAGATCCAGAGTCTAAGGACGGAGAAGAAATTTGTGGTGAATGGTCATCGTCTCAAGCCATATTATGATGGGGCTCCAATTGAACGGGTAGAGACGATGCGTTTAGAGGACCCGATTTGCTTGGTTTAAGCGAATTACGGGCTGTGTCTAGCCAAAGACACTAAAGAAAGGCGCTTGTTTAGGAGGCAACCCGAATATAGATTTTATTGTTTTTAGTTGTTTATTTCTTTAGTTTTGTCGTTTCTCCATTGGGTAGTATCAATGCTAATATCTCCTCCACTGTGATCAGGAAGTGAAATCTTGGCGTGCCCGCGCGGTGTTTGTGTTTTCTGAGACCAGAGGACGAAAACTAATCTTGGCGTGCCCACGCGGTGTTGGACGACCCAAACCAGGTTTTTGCAATAAAAAAAATATTATTATTATTATTATTATTATTATTATTACTTACATTAAAAGAAAAAGAAAAGATTATTTTCTATCTAAACCCTAAAAGAAAAAAAAAATAAACAAAAAAATAAATAATAGAAAAATAAACAAAAAAATAATAATAATAATATAAATAAACAAAAATTTTTTTTTTTTCTAATTTGGACAATTTACATTAGAGTAATGTTTGAAAAATATATATATATATTTTCCCTTTTCTCTTTTCTTTTTCTTCTTTCTTTTCTTTTTTTTTTCTTTTTTTCTTTTCTTTCTTTCTTCTTCTTTCTTTCTTTCTTCTTCCCCGCTGCCCCTATTTCCCTTTTCCTTCTTTTCTTCTTTCGGCCGCCGCCCCTTTCACCCAAATCACCAGAGCTCCACCACCACACCAGCTCTCCTCAGCCTCGTCCGCCTCAGCTCGCCACGCCGCAGCAGACCGCCGTCGCAACTCCACCCCTCGCCGCGCCCAGCTAACCCCAGCCGCGGCCAACGGCGCACCATCACGCCCTCGCGCGCGCCCGAGCTCAACGCTGTCGCGGCCTGGCGCGCTGCCTACGCCGCCTATTTTCCGTC